AAAGAAAAAGAGAGAGAGAGAGAGAGAGAGATACAGGGTCTCACTCTGCCACCGAAACTAAAGTACAGTGGCATGATCTTGTCTCACTACAGTCTTGCCCTTCTGGGCTGAAGCAGCCCTCCCACCTCAGCCTCCTGAGTAGCTGAGGTTACAGGCGCACACCACAATGCCTGGCTAATCTTGTTTATTTTTTGTAGAGATAGGGTCTCACTATGTTACTCAGGCTTGTCGAGGACTCCTGGGGTCAAACGACTCTTTCAAAGTATTGGGATTACGGGCGTGAGCCACCGTGCCCTACTGAGCATGCTATTATTAGTTAATAAATAAATATTTCTGCAGTGTCCACTGTGGACCAGGCCCTTTTTTTTTTTTTTTGAGACGGAGTCTCACTCTGTCACCCAGGCTGGAGTGCAGTGGCCCGATCTCGGCTCACTACAATCTCCACCTCCCGGATTCATGCCATTCTCCTGCGCCCGCCACCACGCCCGGCTAATGTTTTTGTATTTTTAGTAGAGATGGCATTTCACCGTGTTAGCCAGGATGGTCTCAATCTCCTGACCTCGTGATCTACCTGCCTCGGCCTCCCAAAGTGCTGAGATTACAGGCGTGAGCCACCGCGCCCAGCTGGACCAGGCACTATTTATTTATTTATATCTTTTATTTTTATTTTTATTTATTTATTTAGTGTTTTGAGATGGAATTTCGCTCTTGTTGCCCAGACTGGAGTGCAACGGCATGATCTCGACTCACCACAACCTCTGCCTCTGAGGTTCAAGCTATTCTCCTGCCTCATCCTCCCTAGTAGCTGGGATTATAGGCATGTGCCACCACGCCTAGCCAATTTTGTATTTTTAGTAAAGACAGTATTTCTCCATGTTGGTCTGGCTGGTCTAGAACTCCCGACCTCAGGTGATCCACCCGCCTCGGCCTCCCAAAGTGCTGGGATTACACGTGTGAGCCACCATGCCTGGCCTATTTTTTTATATTTGAGATGGAATTTCCCTCTTGTTGCCCAGGCTGGAGTGTAATGGCACAGTCTCGGCTCCGCCTCCCAGGTTCAAACGATTCTTCTGCTTCAGCCTCCTGAGTAGGTGGAATTACAGGCATGCACCACCACGCCCAGCTAACGCATTTTTCGTAGAGGTGGGGTTTCTCCATGTTGGTCAAGCTGGTCTCAAACTCCCGAACTCAGGTGATCCACCTGCCTTGGCCTCCCAAAGTGCTGGGATTACAGGCATGAGCCACAGCACCTGGCCTGGACTAGGCACTATTTATATACCCCCACGTTTGAGATCCCTACTTCACAGATGAGGAAACTGAGGCTCAGAGACGTAAGTTCCCTCAGGAGAGTGGGATTGAGACACAGCTCTCTAGGCCAGTCCAGGTGTCTGGGTGAGGGCATTTCAGGGTTCTAGAGAGGTCCCGTGACCAAGAACTTGCTCACGTCTTTCTGGTTTCTTCCAGTGGATCTGGGAGTTGGTGGATTCTGGCTTGGCCTCTTTGAGCCCCCCTTGGTGGTGGTATCATCCGGAGAGGCTTCTCGGGGACCCCATTGCTGCCATCGCTGCCGAGTCGCCTTGTGCCACCTGGAGAAGTCGAGCCCAGTACCCATGTGGTGTTCACCACCGAGGCTCAAGGGACAGAGAAAAGACAGAGTGGTCCCAGGTAGGTGAGAAGGCTGATGGGGATTAAAGGGGCCGGTCCCAGGAGAGGAAGAGCAGTTCGTCCATCTGAACCCTTCTTGACCTCATCCAGAAAGCATTTATTAAGTTAGCACCCACTGTGTGCCAGGCCCTGTACTGGGCACACAGTAGGCACACAGCCATGCACAAAGAGGTGCCCATAGGCTGATGGTGGAGACAGATCATACCGGAGACAGGACAAAGTAATCATGCCGTGATGGAGAAGACCAGAGGAGCCCAGAGGAGGCTCCTGACCCCGCATGGAGGGGGCTCAGGGAGGACTACCTGGAAGAAGAGGCATTTAAACCTAGCCTGAGGGCCTGGGTGTGGTGGCTGACGCCTGTAATCCCAGCACTTTGGGAGGCCGAGGCCGGTCCATCACTTGAGATCAGGAGTTCGAGACCAGCCTGGCCAACATGGTGAAACCCTGTCTCTCCTAAAAATACAAAAATTAGTTGTGGTGCACACCTGTAGTCCCAGTTACTCAGGAACAGAATTGTTTGAACCCGAGAGGTGGAGGTTGCAGTGAGCCAAGATTGCACCACTGCACTCCAGCCTGGGTGACAGAGCAAGACACCATCTTAAAAAAATAAAAACAGACTGGGCGTGGTGACTCACACCTGTAATCCCAGCACTTTGGGAGGCCGAGGCGAGTGGATCATGAAGTCAGGAGATCGAGACCATCCTCGCTAACACGGTGAAACCCCGTTTCTACTAAAAATACAAAAAAATTAGCCAGGTATGATGGCGGGTGCCTGTAGTCCCAGCTACTCGGGATACTGAGACAGGAGAATGGCATGAACCAGGGAGGCGGAGCTTGCAATGAGCTGAGATCGTACCACTGCACTCCAGCCTGGGCAGCCAAGCAAGACTCTGTCTCAGAACAAACAAAACAAAACAAAGCAAACAAACAAACAAAAAACAGTAAAACAAATCCTTAGCCTGAGAGATGAAGAGAAGTCAACCAGTGGGAGTGCAGGGAAGGGCATTCCAAGCAGAAGTAAAGCCTCAGACTCAAGAGGATCAGGTGTGTGAGGAGCTGAAAACAGATCAGTGTGGCTGGAGGGTGGGAGGGGAGGCCCAGGAAGTGGGCAGGAGCTAAAACCACACACAAGACCTCATGGGGTACCCTGGAGAGTAAGAGGTGTGTTTTCCAAAGAGACAGTTGGTCAATATTGGCATTTAAAAAATTCCCTGTGGTCGCTGTTGGGGAACATTGACTGTCAGGGATAGGAGCGGAAGGAGACCAAGGAGACTAGGAAGGAGCCTTGGGCAGGAGATACTGGTGCTTGGACCAGGGTGGGAGCCATGGGCTGGAGAGAAGTGAGGAGATTTGGATGACATTTACAAAGTAGACACACCACCAGGGCTGGGTGCGGTGGCTCACGCCTGTAATCCCAGCACTTTTGGAGGCCGAGGCGGGTGGATTTCCTGAGGTCAGCTCAGACCAGCCTGGACAACATGGTGAAACTGCGTCTCTACTAAAAATACAAAAATTAGTTGGGTGTGGTGGCGGGTGCTTGTAATCCCAGCTACTTGGGAGACTGAGGCAGGATAATCACTTGAACCTGGGAGGCAGAGGTTGCAGTGAGCCGAGATTGCACCATTGCACTCCAGCCTGGGCAACACAGACTCTGTGTCAAACAAACAAACCAACTAGACACACCAGTTGTTGGTGGATGCTAGCAGGAGCTGGGGAGAGGGGGCACTGGTATGCACAGCTCCTGGTCTCAGACTCTTTATATCTGGCATCACTTTTAGTCCTCGCAATGATGCCGAGAGTCGGAGACACCATTATTATCCCTCTTTTCCAGAATATTAAAAAAAAAAAAAAGGCTTTGGGTGGGGAAGTGACAGAGCCAGCCAGTGACCATGTACCTCACCAGTGAGCCAAGTTGTCTCCCACAGTCAGTTCTTGGGGGTGGTGTAGGGGTGGAGAACAGGGACTGAACCACAGAAGCATAAAACAGAGAGGGAGTCATTTGTCATGCGTCACACAGCAAGACATGATGGTACTGGCTTGAATTCAGTCTTTCTGACATCCTGGTCTAAACATTTTCCTTTTCTCCAGGCTGGGGACATGGCTGGGGTCACTGGGAGATGGTCTCCATGGGGAAGACCCTGTAGAGTGCTTCTGAGACTTCCAAAAACATCGGGGCTCTTCCCAAATCTGCTGCAGTAAGTGGCACCCTAATGACCCCAAATTACTCCTTGCCCAAGCCCAGAGCCCACAGGAGGCCTCCACCGAGTCATGACCCTGGGACTATGAAATCTTACCTCTTTCTGCACCACACTCACCGGCCCAGCCCTGCTGCTGTTCGTGCCTACTTCAGTTAACCATGATGGAAAATGTTCTTACCCATCCTTGCACTTCCCAGGAAATTACCCCTGAGACTAAGATGCCTGGTGGGTGGGGACTTGAGTTTCCAGAACTGGGAGGGAGGGGCAGGCCTGGGGTTTGAGGGCAGGAATCGTGGCTGTGAGGTGGGGCCTGGGACTTTCTCAGGACGAATGAGATTCTGCCATTTCCGCTGAGGGTCTGAGTGTTGCTGCGGCTTTAAAAGCATGAGAGTCTCAGAGATACTCCTCCTGCCTGTCCTGAGCTTCCACAAAAGGTGGGTTTTCTGCCAGTCCTCCCCCAACTGAACTGCACCATAACTTTGGGGGTGGGGAGGATCTTAGAAGCAGAACTAGGATGTTTCTTAGAGAGACCTGACTTCCCCTCTTTGCCCATCCCTACTGGTAGCTGTTTGGAGCTCCAGCCAGAGGTAGCCTCTGTGTGCCCATCCCAGACATGGGAGGCCCCGTCACAGCCTTGCCAATTTCCCTGTCCTTCTCAGATCCCTGCCTGGCATGGGTGGGGGTTTTAGGGCTCCAAAGAGACCCCTTCTGGGGCTGAATCGCGGAGCCTACCTTCCTGGGCTTGGCAGAAAGACCGCTATCTGTACGTACCTCCAAAGACCAGACCCTTGACTCTGCTTCCAGACTCCTTGTTGCCATTGTTGCTGGGGAAGGTTGAGAGCCCGTCACTGCTCAGGTTTCAGCACCTCCTGGGCGGATGACGCCCTGGTCTGGGGGGTGCTTCTGAACCCCTATCTCCCTCCCCTTCCCTCAGCACCATCAGGTCGCGGACAGCTCCTCGCCGTCTCATCCACCCACAGCCCCTAAAGCTACCTTTTTCTCTTTCAGCACGGTGCGAGGGACAGCGTCTCGGCCCTGGGGGTCTCCTTAGACCCTGTCTCCCTGCTCTCCATTTAGCAGCGATCAGTGGACAATTTCTGTCTTCTCCACTCCAAGTCCTTGTCTTGGTTCTTTCCCATGCAGCGCTAGAGGGAACGGCAGACGGTTCTCAGGGCTGGGGTGGGGGGTCTCTTCAGCCCCTAGCTTCAACACCCCTCGCCACGTTATTTTTCCCTGTTCTACCCTTCAGCACCATCTGGGCATCGACAGCTCCTCGGCTTCGGCCCCACCTTGAGCCCCCGTTCCACCTTCTCCCGCTTCAGCACCTCCGGCGCGGACAGCTCCTCGCTGTCGCTTCCACTCCCGGCCCTGGGCCGGACCCGAGAGCAGACGCTCCTCGGCGCCCGCTCACGGGGACGACTCCTGCTCCCTGCTATCCCAGACCCCTTTCTCTGGCCATGGAGACCCTTGGGGTCAGCGAAGGGGCAGAGGTGTGCAGCAGGTTGAGTCGCTCTCGCGGCCGCCACAGCATGACCAGAGCCCCAAAGCACCTGTGGCGGCAACCCCGGCGCCCCATCCGCATCCAACAGCGCTTCTATTCGGATCCGGACAAGTCCGCGGGCCGCCGCGAGCGGGACCTGAGCCCGCGGCCCGGGCTCGGGAAGTCGCGGCTTTCCTGGCCCATTTCCTCCTGCAGGCGGTAGGTGGCCGGGGCACGGGCCTCCTGCAGCGCGGGGGAGGGGCGCGCGGGGCCTGGCGGGAGTGGGGGAGGGTCCTTGCTTCTCCAGGGGGCGGGGGTCTCTGCTGCTTGGTTGAGGCTGGCGCTTGGAAGGAAAAAGCTATTCCTACGTAGGGGTGGAGCTGAGGGTGCTGGTGTCATCATGGCTTGTGGGTCTGTGTGACCGGGTGTGCCCACGTGCGATTGGGACCGAAAGACTCTGTGCGTGTGTGTGTGTGTGTGCGCGCGCTCGCGCGTGAGACTGGGGTGACCAGATGTGTTTGGGGTGCTCCTGTGCCTACATGCTTGGATATGATTTCATGTGTCCCAGGTAGTTGTGGGTGTGCCGGTGTGTCTCCCCTTGTGGTGCCTGTTGGTGTGTGACTGACTGTGACTGTCCTTGCGCTAACACGGCTGGGGGTCCGAAGGTTTTCAGGATTGTGGAATGTCCGCAGGCCTGTGGGGGAGGTTTGTGATCACCTCAAGCACCCGAGGTAACCCTAGGGTGCTTGGATATAAATACACACACATACACACGTTTTGATTTTTGAGACAGAGTCTCATTCTGTCGCCCAGGTAGAAGTGCAGTGTCTTGATCACGGCTCACTGCAACCTCTGCCTCCCAGGCTCAAGCTATCCTCCCACCTCAGTCTCCAGTAGCTGGGACTACAGGGGCATATTACCACGCCTGGCTAATTTTTGTATTTTTTCCTAGAGATGGGGTTTTGCCATGTTGCCCAGGCTGGTCTTGAATTCTTGGCCTCAAGTGATCCTCCTGCCTTAGTCTCTCAAAGTACTAGGATTACATGTGTAAGCCACTGCACTCAGCCTATTTCATATATTATAGATATATAAGGGCCAGGGCAGGCTGCCACCAGTGTTGCGGGGAGGAGCCTCCTCTTGCTACCTCCTCCGCCCCCGCTCCATCACCCCACCCGGCTCCCCTGTAGGAGGAAGGGAAGTCCCTTGGGAAGCTTGTGCACCGGAGATTTCTTTCCTTTAAGGAGGGGCTGCTTCTCCTGTTTCGTGTAAGCTGAATGGGGTGGGGTTAGGACAGAGACAGAAGAAGAGACTCATGGAAAAAAAATGTAGAATCCTCAGGAGGCCTGACATAAGGGTCTCCAGCTACCAGGTGGAGGCTCCAGGGCCAGGGAGGAGGGTCCAGGAACTCCAAGCCCTCCTTAGGTTGGAGGGAGAACCAAGTCAGCGGGACCAGCGTCCTAGGTTTCAGTCCAGGCTGGGTGGCCTTGAAAGTGTTCCTTCCCCACCCTGGAGCTTGGCTTTCTCGCGTTCTGGTGCATAGATCCCCTAGGGGCCACTGGCTTCTGACTCCATCAGCAAGCCTGGCCTCTCGCCCCCAGCCTGGCCCTCCAGCATCTTGGGAGGCATCTCAGGTAGATGGTTCCCACAGCCCAGAGGGGTTGGAGCTGTTCTCAGGTGACCCAGGAGCCCCTTCTCCCGCCCCGGCTTCTAGCTCCTGCTGCCCCATCCCTTCTGGTGACTCATGATTTTCCATTTTCAAGAAAGAACAAACAGAGCCTTGGTATGAGCTCTTCTGGGGGAAGCCCCCGCTTGGCTCTGGGAGGCAGGAGCGGTGGATTGGGTGTCCCTGTGCACATGTGTGTGTGCACACACATGTCGTTCTGCGCATCATGTGCACTGCAGTCACACATATGTGGGTGTGCATGCATGTGGCCCACTGTGCTTCTCTGTGCTGATATGAGGGGAAGGGTTCACCCCAGGGGGAAGCTCAGAGAAACTGAGTTCAAAGCCAGGCCCCAAGGCCAACCTGATGTGTAGTGTTGAGCAAGCAGTGGTGCCTCCCAGAGCCTCAGCATCCTCATCAGTGAGATGAACATTCTGCGCCTGAGCCTGGTACACATTGGGTCCCCAGCTTGTGGCTCTTTTCACAACCCTAGAAACTGTTGGAGGACTGTGCTTCCCCAGAGCCTCAGATGGATCACAGGGGTATGGGAGGGTCCAAGCATTTCGTTCAGAAGGCATTTAAGCACTTAATGGGTGGAAGGCCCTGTGTTGGAGACACAACCATGGACAAGAAGCTGTGTCCCCTAAGGCTTATGGTGGAGACACTCACACCAAGTGGAGAAGGCACAGGGTGATGGAGAAAGATCAGAGAACAAGCACAGAGGAGGCTCCAGACTCAGCAGTGGGGTGGGAGTCAGGGAGAACTGCTTGGGAGAAGTAACATTTAAGCTTAGCCTGCAGGAGAAAAGAGGTCAGCCAGGGTGAGTGCAAGAAGGGCATTCTAAGTAGAAGGAACAGAATGTGCAAAGCCTCAGACTCAAGAGGATCAGGCGTGTGAGGAGCTGAAAACGTATCACTGTGGCTGGAGGATGGAAGGAGAGGCTCTCTGTTTATGCTACAAGCATTTATTTATTTATTTATTATTTTTTAGACGGTGTCTCTCACTCTGTTGCCCAGGCTGGGTGCAGTGGCACAACCTTGCCTCACTGCAACCTCTGCCTCCTGGGTTCAAGCGATTCTCCTACCTCAGCCTCCCCAGTAGCTGGGATTACAGGTGCTCACCACCACACCTGGCTAATATTTGTATTTTTAGTAGAGACAACATTTCACCATGTTGGCCAGACTGGTCTCAAACTCTTGATCTCAAGTGATCCACACACCTTGGCCTCCCAGAGTGTGGGATTACAGGCAAGAGCCACCACATCCGGCCGCTACAAGCGTTTATTGAGCATCTACTAAGTGCCAAGTACTGAGAGAACAGCAGGGAACAAGGCAGACCTGGCCTTGCTCTCCAGGGACTCACAGGCAAATAATCATGACAATAAATGTGAAGTTGTACCCATGGCTGGAGGGTGCTCTGAGGCACTTACCTGGCTAGTCAGGGAGGACTTCTCGGAGGAGGTGACTCTCTGACTGTAACCCAAAAGACAAAGCATCAGCAGGCGGCAAGCATTCAGGTAAGCGCCATGGGGTGGAAATAAGCCTGGTTGATTCAGGCAACAGTGAGGAGTGGGGAGAGACTGGAACAGCGTAAGCCTAGAGAAGTGAGGCGGGGATGGGCCACATGGGACCTCTGGGGAGGTGTGAATTCAGATCTGAGGGCAATGGGGGGTCATGGGAGGGTCCGGAGCAAAGGAGTGTGTGATTTGACTCATGTGAGCATCTACACATGCGACTTGGCCCCCACCCTCCTCGTTCTGCTTGACTTCTCCATGGGGACTTGGGCAAGTTATCTTCCCTCTCCACGTCTCAGTTTACTTATCTGTAAAATGGGCAAAAACACCCATTAAAAAACTCTCTGGGGCCACCTGGTGGCCGTGGCGAAAAGTGCCTGCCCAGAGAAGGGACATTCAAATGGGGGAAATTGAGGCAGTAGCGTGCTAAAGGCATCAGAGTGGGCGTGGTGGCTCACACCTGTAATCCCAGTACTTTGGGAGACTGAGGCGGGCGGATCACCTGAGGTCAGGAGTTCAAGACCAGCCTGGCCAACATGGTGAAACCCTGTCTCTACTATAAATACGAAAATTAGCTCCGCATGGCAGCAGATGCCTGTAATCCCAGCTACTCGGGAAGTTGAGACAGAAGAATCGCTTGAACCTGGGAGGCGGAGGTTACAGTGAGCCAAGATCGTGCCACTGAACTCCACCCTGGGTGACAGAGTGAAACTGTGTCTCAAAAAAGTAAGGCCAGGGACAGTGGCTCACACCAGTAATCCCAGCACTTTGGGAGTCCGAGGCAGGTGGATCACTTGAAGTCAGGAGTTCAAGACCAGTGTGACCAACATGGTGAAACCCCATCTCTACTAAATACCAAAAAAAAAAAAAAAATTAGCTGGGCATGGTGGCA